CTCCTGCTTCACCACCACCGTCGCCGCCGCCGCCGCCGTCGCCACCGCGTCCTCGTCCCGGTGCCTGCGCCGGCTTCCCCGCTCCCGCTCGCTCTTCACCTCTTTCATGATGCGATGTCCGCGGAGCGCAGGGGAAACTCGGCCGTTGCGCTCCCCTCGTAGACAGGAAATGACGTGCCAGATCCCGGGACTTCCGCTCTTGGAGTACACGCTCTCCCAGAAACCCTCGCGATGCAGAGGCTAAACACGTGACGACCCCGTTGTGGGCGGGGCCGTCAGGACGCAGCTCGGGTGGCGGGAGTTTCAAGTTTCAAAAACCAACTCCTGGGAAAAAGCTATGCTCCAAGCTGTTGCCGCGTCATTAGTCCTTCCTAAACCCCGAGACAACCGAAACCTCAGCATCAGGCATTGTTTAGTCAACGGATGGATGTTATATCGCCATTTGCAATGCTATCTACAAACTCTATTATGACAAAAACAAAACCCAGACGTTAAGCGAAAGAAACAGGATACAAAGTTGTGCGCAAACTGTGCTTACATTTATGTTTGGAAATGCGAAGGCAAGAAGGGAGGAAATGCAATCATAGATAGTATACCGTGGGCAAACCATTACTATTTCTCCAATTGTTACGTTGTCTCTTCGCCACTTAATTAAAGACACTTGATTTTTAAAACCTGGGAACTCCAGAAGTCTTCCTCTAAGACTCCCGCTTTGCAGATGACAAAATCAGGAGTCAGAGAACGTGATCTGCCACCTCACTCAAATTGCGAGCTAAACGTGGCACAGGAATGCGAGCCCATTTTCCCTACTTCCAAGAGCAGAGGAGCGACCGGAGGAGCAGGAAGCCTGCCTGCCGAGCTAAGCAAGGAAGAACCTTACCCGGAAGCTGCGCCGAGAGAAACTCGCGCGATGCTGGCCCCGCCCAACTCCAAGGCCCCGCCCAACTCCAAAGCCCCGCCCAGGCCTGGAGGCTGGGAGGAGGGGTTTCCATGGTGACAGTAAACAAGGCCCTGACTTTGAGGGGCTATTGCTGGGCTACTCGCCGGCACCATGATCCCCCCCGCGGACTCTTTACTCAAGTATGACACCCCGGTGCTGGTGAGCCGGAATACGGAGAAACGGAGCCCCAAAGTAAGGATGAGTCTCAGGGAGTCAGGGGAGCCCGGAACTCCTATGGGGAAAGACAGATGCCTGCTTTGAAGATCCGGAGTCCCAAGAAACAGAGGCTGAAGCAACTGAGAGTAAAGAAAATTGGGATAGGGAAAGGAGGATAGGAGAGCGGAACCAGAAGCCCAGATGTTGGGCCACTCCAGAGGGTAAATTTAGGACGGGAAAAGAAGTCACAGGGAGGTGAATGAGATTCGCCGTTTTTCATGGTAGCCGGTGCAAGAATAGATCTGGTGGTGAAAGCAGAGGCCTGAGCACCCGGGCCAGAAACATCGGTTCAAGGAGATACAAGCGTTGGATTGGGGTGGGACCAGAGACTCTTGACCTCCTTTAGCTCTGAGACATAACTTCTGCTGAGAAGACAGATGGGGAAAGTGTGTGGGAGATCTGGAGCAAGGACCAGGTGCTTAGTATCAGAATCACCTCCTGCCCTAATGCGTCTCTTCCTCCCAGGCTCGGCCATTGAAAGTCAGCCCCCAGCAGCCTGGACCCTCAGGTCCAATCCCACCGCCAACCAAGACCAAGCTCTCAATTTCCTGTGTCCCAGATCCTACAAAGCAGGCAGAAGAAATCTTGAATGCTATCCTGCCACCAAGGTAAGAGAAAAAATAAAAATAAAAAAATAAGCAGGGTTAGTGGCTAGGAGAAGGCCCAGGCTTTTGCATCCCAGAACTTGGGAACATGGCAAGAGGCACGCTGTCTCTGTTCCTGGCTGATCTTTCCTCCCAGTGTCTCTGAGTTCCTAGCGCTTACAGATGGCTGGATCCTGGGAAGGTGGGGCTACCTTGTTCTCTATGTACCCTCATTTCCAGAGTGCTCATGGCTTTATTTCCCATCTATGTGCTGAGGCTCCCAAATGTGTATTTCCAGATCTGTACTCTCCTCTAAACTCCAGAGCCATATATTCTGCTACTGCTTTCCTACCTGCATGGAGATGTTAATAGGGCACTCAAGCCACCCCATCCACTTGGCTCAACATGTTCAACCCTAGCTGGGTTTCTCAGTGGTTAGAGCACTGGCCTGTGGACCAAAGGGTCTCGGGTTCAGTTTTTGGTAAGGGTATGTACCTCGTTTGCAGGTTTCCCAGCCCTGGTAGTGGCATGTGTGGGAGGCAACAAATCAATGTCTCTCACGTTGATGTTTCTCTCTTTCTCTCCTTCTTTCCCCACTTCCACTCTCTCTAGAAATCAATGGAAAAAATATCTTCGGGTGAGGATTTAAAAAAATACCCTCAACATGTCCAAACTCATAATTTCTTCCTTATCCCAACCTGCTCATCCTGTCTGCCCTTTCTATTAGGGGCTCAGGCCACCTCTCATCCCCCTTGGCCTTTCACATCACAGATGCTATCCTTTATTGATTTCTTTTGGCCCTACCTTGAAATCATATCCAAAATCTGTCCATTTTTCACCAGCTCTGCTTCCATCATCTTGTTTCTAGTCACTGTTTATCACCTGTACTACTGCCGTGGCCTCCCACTGCAAACCTGGCTTCCACTCTTTGCCCCTACAATCTATGCTCCACACAGCCCCCAAATCATAAGTCAGACCATGCCAGGCTTCTGCCAGAAACTCATGGCTTCCCATCTTATCAGACCAAAAACCACAGTCTTTTCAGTGGTCTGTGAGACCTGGCATGATCCCACCCTAACATACCCGTGATCTTATCTCCTGTCATTTTCTTTCTTGTTCACGGTGCTAATGCCACAGGGGCCACTGCTTGCTGTCTGGGAATCACTTCACTCTTCCACCTCAGGGCCTTGACAACTGCTATTCTTACTGCCAAGGATACTCTCCCCCGAATATTCACCTGGTTCCCATCCTTCCTTTACTCTGGTCTTGCTCAAATGCCATTTCTTCAAGGAGGACTTCCGTGAGAATCCTCATAAAAGAGCTCCTCCTCCCTCCATGACCCCCTTACTCTGTTCTTTCTTCTGCAGCCACACTTATCACTGGCTGATGTGCCTGTTCCACTATTTTTTATATAATCCGTTGACAGCAGTTTTTAAGGCTCTGATGAGACGAGAGCCTGCAATTTCCTCTCAGGTGGAAGTCAAAGAAAGGGGAGGGGTTGAGTTTCCTGCAGATTCCTTCCCACCATGGCATGGAAGTCCTCTCCCCCACGGTGATTCTGCCCATAGGCTCCCTCCTTGTGATCCTAGAACCTGGCCATGCCTCTGACCCAAGGTTCGCTATGAGGAGTTACATGGCTTTAAGAACGTCCCTACCCCGCACTGCACACATTCACCTCTTTCTGACTAGCACATGGTTTATGGTGCCCTGTGTCTCCCACCCTACAAGTCAGTGGGCAATTTCCACTGGGCCTTCTGTTCATATCAAGCAACAACCATACATTTGTCCTGGATACATTAGGAGGGAAAGATCTGGAACATGGGTGATGATTTCACAGAGGGCTGGAGGAGAGTGGAGCTTGCCCAGCCCTGAGGGAGGGGCCCTGTGGAGGCAGCTGAGTGTGTGTGGCTTTGGGACCACACACTCCCCAAGGAAGAAGGAAGAATGGGGGATCCTGATGGGTTGGTGACAGAGCTTCCCCTCACTCCTGCCCAGGCAGAGAGCTCAAAGGGCCATCTCTGCTCATGTCCTGAGGACTCTCTCTGGCGATGGGTTTCTCTCAGCCTGGCTGTGTCTGTGCCGCAGGGAGTGGGTGGAAGACACACAGCTATGGATCCAGCAGGTGTCCAGCACGCCCAGCACCCGGATGGATGTGGTGCACCTTCAGGAGCAGCTGGACCTGAAGCTGCAGCAGCGGCAGGCCCGGGAGACTGGTATCTGCCCTGTCCGCCGGGAGCTCTACTCACAGTGTTTTGGTGCGTGGCCAGGGGGAAGGGTGCACTACACTCTACTACCTCTTTCTCTTCCCCTCAGCACAGCCCCAAGCTCTGAGTATCCCTGAGCTGAAGCCCACCCCACCCTGAGATCATCTATGCCCCACTCCCTGTCTCCCCCTGGATCTGCTAAATGCACCCTCTTCTCCCTCCCAGCCCTGCCTCTCCCGCCCATCCCCCCACTTGCCGGTCAACCTGACAACTTGGTTCCTCACCTCTTAGCAGATATTGGAGTAAATGAGAACTTCCATTATAAATCTTTGTTTTCTTTCAAAGATTTCTATAAGAAGCATGTGTTAATTTTTTAATCAGAAAAAATAATGTGCTATATTTATATCCATCTATCAACATTCAGCCCTTGGTCCAGAAAGCACTTTGTAATTTGCTGTAAACAGACAGAAGGATTTAAGTTCTCCCTCCTCAAGTGCAGGTGTGAGTGGCTGTCCTCTGCCCAGTGTCACTGGCCCACATGGACTGGGACATGCAAACCACCTCCAAACCCTGAGGCAGCTGCAAGGGCTACAGGCTCCCTGCGGTCTGAGTGTGATGGTGGTTTGTCCCCCAGGACAGCATTTATGGAGGAGAGGGGTGGGCAAGCTGTAGTCTATGCTGTTTCCAGCCCCAAACCAGCCCAGCCAAGGAGACACATGGAATTTCCCAGCTGCTTTAAAGCAGCCACCATCTTCCAATTGAAAAGTCAGGTTTCTTTGAATAGTACCCAGTTCCTGGCTGAAGATGGAAGAGAGGGGCCTCATGCTGCAAGCAAACCTGGGGATCCTGTCTCCCTCTGCCCTGGGCTTGCCAACTGCCAAACTCCCAAGTGCCAAGTTCAGAGCAGTGGCTACATGGCAAGGCTCCTGGGACCACTGAAGGCCCCTCCCTGAGATCTATCTCCAAGTGAGAAGGGCATCTTCCCATAGGAAGGGTGGTTTGCAGTAGACAGGTGTATCCCCCCCGCCACACACACACACACACCCACACCCCCGCCTACCTTCTCTGACCTCTGTGTGTGTGTGTGCATTGGAAGATGAGCTGATTCGTGAGGTCACCATCAACTGTGCGGAGAGGGGGCTGCTGCTGCTGCGAGTCCGGGACGAGATCCGCATGACCATCGCTGCCTACCAGACCTTGTATGAGAGCAGCGTGGCGTTTGGCATGAGGAAGGCGCTGCAGGCTGAACAG